ACCGCCCTTTAATATTTTGCTGCCAGTGGTATTTCGGGATGTTATATCTTACTAGAACATGACTACATCACGAAAACATGTATAATAAAACAACGTTATCACAAGAATACCACAAAGTTTGCACCCAGGAATTAATAGATCGATTTCAGTTAGTGGACTTCCCGGAAACCATGGAAACATAGAAAGTGGTCATGGGAATTAGTACTAACATTTCGGTTTATAACATATTTGTCATTCTTGAAATAAATAAACGGTATTTTTTCAAATAAGTCGCCAGAAAAATTAATATAACTGATTGAAAATCCTCAAAAATTCTTAAATATGTCACGACTCGTGCTAGTCTCCACTATAGCAACCGTGGACTGTACTAAACGAAGCTCTGTCGATCGTCCTTAAAGTTGTATTATCGGAATAATTAAGTTCGAGACTTTAGACATATTGAGTACTGTCTAGTATTATTAAACATCTGTCACCGTAACGCCATAAGTAACAGCGTGCCGTAATTTTGTGGCATTTTACGGGGTATTTTCATCCTACCATATTAAGAAATGCGAATTCTAAATATGAAATGATTACGTGCGTAAATAATAAAAACAAATGATGGCTACCACCAGGGTTTGGCCACACTCCAAACACTGGCGGCCGCAGCCAGTGTTCGGAGTGTGGGGTTTGGCCGGACTCCACACAAAGAAGTTCGCTGATTCTGTTCTAAACTTTTTGGATTTTCTTGGAAAGAAATGATGTATAATAATAGGGTTATTACAAGGATACCTCAAAGTATGCACTCAGACAGTACGCCGTCGCACTGACCTCCGCTGCGCGTCGGTCGATACTTCCGCTGTGCTGTCTTCGAGCATACTTTGAGGTATCCTCGTATTAACCTCATAATAATAACAGCTACGGGATTTGCAAGCCTTGACAATATCCGATCATATTCGTTAATTACTACACGCCCCGTTTAGGTCGGTATAAGCAACACGCATTCAAGTTTACGAGGTGTTTTAAATACCCTGTCAAGAATTTTGCTAATTCGTTATTTCGCGATTAGGCCGAATAGCATCAGCCTTATCAGTGGCACGAAATTTACAAGCTTACGTTCATGTATAACAAATATTACGAACCTAATTAATACTAACAGAAGACAATCAACTTGATTTTATAATGACTGTATGTATAAAGAACACTCAGAATAGGTGCCGTTTTACTGTTTGAGTACGTCGTACTGTCAGTGAACATTGCGCTACTTTCAATATCTGGTTTTCATTTTTTTTATCAACTTGATATATAGTGACCACTTTGTTGTTTTGTAACCCGTTCATGGAACCTAGAAGCTGTATGTCACGAAATCGCCTGAAACAATTCCCGCGCGTGCGCAGGTGACCACCCTCCCGCTTAAATTTCTTTACGTTCAAGGATTTTGTGGTTTTTGGGGTTTTCGGCAAATCCACTGACTTAGCGGTATTCTCGCGAGAACTTCTTAATATGTGCATATTGACTATACACTGCATGTATATAACACGGAATCGGTTGGTGAAAGATGTAAGCTAGAAGACCACACCCTGTCAATGAATGAAATTACAATTTATTGTTGGCCGAGCAGGCAGAACTTTGAAATGTACAACAATTTTATAAGAAAAGTAATAGTCACATTTTTAATATTATTATTACAATCATTATTTACTTTACATTTTATTTGTAGACAATCGCATACCTCGTCTTGACTGTGTATGTTCTTGGGTTATGGAACCTCTGTTGCCATCATCAGTGTAGTAAAGTAACAACAACACATCGAACATGAACCATATCATCGACGTGGCGAGAATTACTTTACCGTACATGAATCGTTTATTTCTCATTGTGGCGTTGGTAATTAATTTTCAATTATGTGATATCCGCGATACTGTTTGTATGTTTCCAATATATAATCCGACCAATGGGAAGCAAATATATAGGATAAAAACAATATTCAACAGATTCCAGTCTCATGCAACAAAAAACACGCCTCTACCAAACGGGGTTTGTTAGTTGTTATGACGACTGCATCACTGATAAACCGGATAATCCACACTATCACAAAGTGGTGTGTAAGATGTGTCCAGGGTCCTAGAACTTCAAAATAAAGAACGAAACATTGAAAACTTACATGACTTGAAGTGCGATTTATGGTGTTCGCGTGCAGATTAGTAATGTCTGCTAAATTACAATAGAACTCCGTGTCAAATTTGTGTACACACTTAAAACCCAGTGAATATGCTAAAAATATTTTTAAAAAATTGTAAAATTAAATGCCAGTGATAATAAATAGTTTTACAGTATCACATATTGTGTACCATTTTTAATGTTTTTAATGGAAAACATGCACGAGACAATTCTGAGAATGTTTTTCTTTCGTACTACAGTATGTAGGAATTAAAGTTCGTTGGTGCTTTCATAATGAATTTTCTATTTAAAAAATCTAGTTAACCATAAAATACTGTTTTAGTTGTCTGCCTGGCTTTCTATTACAGAACGGGCAATTCTCGAACTTCGTATTTTAGGCGTTAGACCATTAAGTGCCCAGTCAAAATGGTTAATATATATATATATATGGATGTATACACAACAACTAGCAACGTGACTTACTAGTTGTAAAACGCACAGTCGCCGCATAGCGTCGTGTTCTGGATCCATGCGAGGTATACAACGCGTGTATACATCGTTTAAGTTGCTCACATGAAATTCAAACGCTCGATGCGACACTACTGTAAAACTGGGTTTTAATTTTGCTTTTTTCGCTGACTAATATGCCTGAAATAGTAAATTAGCGATATTTAAACCCAGTGAAAATTAGTCATTTTATAGTATAACGCTTGAAGTCGATAAATTCATCTAACAAAACAAATAAAACTTACTGCGAGTGAACTTGCGTTAAACGTACCAGCTGCCAAAGAACAAAGAGACAATGTGTCCCAGAATAGTATTCAATCAAAGATGTAACAAAACATCGCATCCTGTGCTTTATCCTCGCTAACGTGTGCGTGTACGTACATGAAATACAAGAATTTTTGATTGTAAAATAATGAACTAAAACATGTCAACCTGATTAAAATATTATAATCTATCGTAGCAATATATACATAGTAACGAATATTACTCAAAAACCCTTCAAACAGTACGTGGCATTGGGAATTAATAGACGAAATGATTATGACATTTCAGCCACAGTAAGTTGTGACAAACTGAGAAAATTATTTTTTTCATAACTTTAAAAGTAGCAATTCAAATTGGTTGAAAAATGGTAGCATATATCACGCCCTCTATATGGATAAAGGGACTGTGCATATATGTAACGGTGATAACCATGGTTGTCATGACAACAGTCCTGAAAATATTTATTTTAGCTTTTTTTTCTACCGAATGCTCTATTTGTATATATTTTATACATTTTATCGATGAGAGTAGCTTCTACAGGCTATATACCAGTATAACCAGTTAAAAATAAAAATAAAATGTCAATGTATTCTCGATGATTAAAATGAAATTGTTATTGCTGTTATTATTTTTGGCAATATCAACATCTAGAGACGGATTAAAGTCAAAATGACGTATCTGGCGGAAGGCAGCGTTCTTGAAATCGACAGTGTGTATTTGGTTGTGTTGTCTTAAGTCATTTTAATATGCATGTAGTCGAATACCTTAATAATACAATCTTCATTAATGGACGATTACAGATCAAAGCGATATTGATGCTTTGAGTGGTCTTCATTTACGTCATCATAGAAGAGCTTCGCCACTAGAGGGCGCGAGTTACAAATTCAGCCTATCAACTATTTCCAAGACTCCGATACAGCTTCGGATATGATCGCAGTGTGCAACAGTTTAAGTGTGGTAATGGATAGATAATGCTTTTCAGAATAAAGGGGGATTTGCTCGTTCAGGTATTTATATGTTTAATATTCATAATTACACAAACCAAACAAGTAACAGACATGTTCTGACAAATGCTAACTATGAACTGTCGTATATGTCATGTATTGCTACGTGTACATTTCACTTCTCCAACACAATCGATCTTTTATTTATTCGTTTATTAATTTATTAATTAATTAATTAATTAATTAATTAATTAATTAATTAATTAATTAATTTATTTATTTATTTATTTATTTATTTATTTATTTATTTATTTATTTATTTATTTATTTATTTATTTGTTTATTTATTTATTTGTTTGTTTGTT